CGGTAAAATTATTAATATTAAAATTTAAATAAAAACATATCAATTAAATACAAATTTAATAATTATATGAGCTACTACTATTATAAATAAATTTAATATTTGTATAAAAACTTTATTTTTTATTTCATTTTTAAAATGAATATTTTTGTTGGTGAAAATAACTCTTTCAATATTGTACGTAGACTATAATAAATTTTATTGTTTTATTATTTCTCTGATCATTAATTATCTAGTTTATATTGTTACGATTAATGATTTTTTTTTTTTAATTTTGTATATATTTACAAATATTAAAAGTGTTATTAAACATTCAAAATTGAAGTAAATTTAATTTTCGGTATTACTAAAAAAAAACCATTTTCACATTAAATAAATGTCTTTGGTTTATTTTGATGAAATTTTTGAAAGTACAGCTATCAATAAGAAAAATATTTGGGCAGTTCGCACTGAAAATTTCTTGTAAAATCAGAGACGAACACAGAAAGCGTATGAATGCTAAATAATCAACTGCGTTTCGAAAGAGAAAGTACTTTTAGAATGGAAAGTAATAAAAATTAATGCCTGACTTTATCCGAATGTTCGATACCATGAAATGTTGAATTGAAAATTGAAAAATTGAGAAATGAAATAGACTGCACAAAAAATAAACTTTAATCAATAAAGTAAATTTCTTCTTAATTCAAATAATAATTGAATGTGCATGGCAGTAGTTATTTGAACAATGAAAATTATCTTTATTACGACATTTATAGTATAATATTTTATTAAAATGAATTAAAAGGGAATATACATTCATTAAAATTGAGATATATTTTCCTAAGAATAAGTATTTCAAACATATTTTATTTTTGAGTAAATACTCACTTATCAAAATGAACAATGTATTGATATAATAGTAAAATATTATTCAAATTGAAATATTTAATTAATTATAATTTAAAGGTTTAAATTATTCGTAAAAAATTAAACATCAAATGTATGTTTGAGACTGCATAAAAAGTGCGATTTAGATAAAATACAATCTGGAAAATCAGCTTTGCATCGATAAATTTTAAATAAAGCAAAAACTCAATGAATTCTAAAAAGTACTTTGTCTTTATTTTGTTTCTTTACTTATGAATAATCTGCTTCATTAACAAATAAATGAATTGCATAATTTCTTCAATTTCAGTTTCTGTTTTTATTATTTTTCTTACTTTATTTCACAAGAACTACATAAAATACCATCGAGCCTTATAAGCTTGGATCGTATAGTTGTTTATTTTAAATATTATTTATTAATTAAATAAGTATTTTGGTATTATTTGTGTTGTAGTATATTGGGTTATAAAATCACATTAAATATGTAAAATTATTATGAACATAATATTTATTTAAAATATCATATACGTACCAATTGAGCCAATTGAGTAATATAAATATTTTTCGTATATAAATAATTCGAAAACATTTTATATAAGACTATATAATTAACATTAAAAGGATATTTTTTACTAGATTAATCTACGTTAACAAGTTCTTCATATTGTAAAAATAATTAAATTGAAAATAAAAAAATTGCATAATATCGATTGCTATCATATAACGTAAGAACATAAGTTAAAAGTGTTTTTTATTCATAATTCAATTGGTATTCTATTCGTTTTAATATTAAAAAGTATTATTTTACAACAAAAAGCACTTAGAAGCATTAGATCTTAAAAGCATTTAGAAACACTTTTTTCTTTTTAAAATAGTAGATTGTTTAGATTTTTTAAATATTATGAAAAACATTTAATTAATCTTTATTTGTTATAATTACATTAAAAGGTTTGTACATATATAATATATATACACATAAATATAATAAAAAGATTAAATTAAAAGAAATTTGAAATACTTAGTATCTATAATAATTTTTAAACCTTTAATCATATATTGATAATTAATCAATTTCGTTTTTTGAAAATTTATAACGAATATTTTCAATTGATTAGATTTTTTATAGCGAATTTTGGTATTAAGATGAACAAAACTAGGGGGAGCAACAAAAATTATTTCGAACATATTACTTTTTGTTTTGAAGAGCAATTGCTTGAAAATATTTCCTAAATTCTCTAAGAACTAAACAAATATAATAAGTTTACAGTAATTTATCCAAGTATTGATATTTCAATAGTAGTATCGAATGTCAACTTGTTAGGAAGCAATCAGACAAGAACGGCAAAACGACGAGAACCGACTGTTTTTAAGTCAATGCCTACACTGCTTCCTCTTCAAGGTCATCATCCCAGCAAGTCAAGCGTAAAACTAGTTCGACCAGTGTCCAACCACTGCTGATTGAGAAACAGACCTTCGGGTTAAAAGTGGATGCTAGGCAGATTGCTAGGGCTGCTTTTCGACTTTATATGTTAGGTATTTTCTTGTTAGTCGCCCACTGTATACATTTTTGCACATTAATGAGTATATAACTAGTAGCTATAGCAGTGATTTGTGAAAATTCTTTGTATAATCAGAACATAATTCGCTTACTATAAGGCATACTTATTGTTAATCTAGGTTTACTTTAAATACAACACTATTTTATACGTTTCCAGTTATTGCGCTTCTAGATATAATTAGAAATTTTATTACTATAATTGCTTTATCGATAATCATGAATATTTTATATATTTTGGTATATTTTATGAATTATATTTTTGTAAAAAATTTTTATAAAACATTTTCATATCTATTAATTTTTGTATAAATACCTTAATAAGGTCAGCTCATTTATTCTAAATATATTTTTACTTAAAGATTATAAAAATAAAGAATTACAAATATATAAGATATTTTGTTTAAAGGAAAAATAACATTTAAAAATTTTAAATAATTAAACATGAATTTTTATATTTACATAATTTTTTGTAAAATATGAAATTATCAAAATAATTAATCTATAAAATAATTACAATTTATTTACATCAAGAGATTTGTTTACAAAAAAGTATTCTTATGTAAAAGTCTTTTATCAGAATGAAATTTTGTTTTAGCTTTAAGACATTCTAAAAACATGTATTTTTTAATCGATTATATTAAACTAAAGAAAAAGTATATTTACAAGATTTTTCCAATATGTGTGTGTTTGAAAATGATCAAGCTGAAAAAGAACTTAAAGAATTTAAATATTCAATTTAGTTTTTACGTATTTACATTTCACGATTACAAATATTTCAAACGTATTATATAATATATATTTCTTCATAGTGAAGACTTGTCGTGATTGTAAATAATTATATAAACATATTCTGGTACTTTTATTAATACACTGAAAACTTACATAAAATTACAAGTGTTTATCTGAATATAATAAAGTCATTTAAAATATTCTTAAATCTGGACTATGAATAAGCAGCATGCGCACGAAACTACGCCGACCTTATTGTGAGCATATTACATGGTAGAATACCATTTCTTTACTTACGTAATGTCAAATCCTCACACTAATGCTTAAATGACTTAGTTTTTTCTGTATATTATTATTAATTTAATAACGAAAACAAATATCGTTATTCACTTTCACCAAGTTTTGTAAAAAGATGATTGCAACAAAAAAATTTTAGTGCGGTGCATTACATGAGTGTTTCGTAGTTAAATTACATAAAGAATATTCTTATATAATATATAATTCCATAATATATAAATACATAGTATCCATTTTAGGCGAGTATAAAGTTAAATATTTCTTTATTCATTGATTATGCATCCTGCAAACTTTTAATTATAATCCAATAATACTATTTCTTCTTGAAAAAGGTTTAACATAATTAATCAATACATATCATTAATTCTTATCTTGATAAATCTGATATTTTGAAAGTCTTATAAAATAAATAAATTTATCTGAAATTTACTTTCACAAATTAGTTTTTACATTTAATATTCAATTTGAATACTTTTAGTTTATGAGCTATTTACAGAATTTTAATATTTTTTATTTATATACAATGTAATATACTCAAAAATATTTAATGAAATCCTTTTTATGACCTATTGAGCTTTAATAGTATTAAATGACAGTTTTTTTTATTTATTTTTTATAGTGTTTTATTAATTATCTTATTCTACATAAAATCAAAAGCTAAATAGTTTAAAAGTTAATTATGATATTTGGGTAAAATTTTGTTAAATCAGTAGTCAATTTTATAAAAATTTGTTTTAGTTTTAGAGCTATAAATAAAGAATGAATATTATAAAAATATAATCAATAATAATTAATAATAAGAAAAATAAGTAATCATTTGCAAAAAATTAATGTTTAACATGGAAAACATTATATGCTTAACATGAAATAAATGTTATGACATAAATAATATAAAAATTATTTTATTAATATTTAAAAATTTAAGTTCAATTATTACACTTAATACCTTTAAATAAATATATATTTATTATTTATTACGTGTTATTATTAATATGTTATACAATATTTTGTACAACGACCGTATAACGACCGATTATATTAGTAATCAGATGACTAATATAAAACTATTAATTATAGTTTATATTTTTAGTTTTTTTTCAATATATAGAAATTCAATATTAATAAATATAATGAATAAATTAATATTTTAGAACTAAAATTAAGAGTTATTCGGACATTTCTTATTAAATTTAATTAAATAAAATATCGATTAAGAAATATTAAGAAATTATATAAATACCGTCTTGTAAGTTCAATGTTACATGCTTTATTTATTTTATTTTCAGGACGTAATGAGTGAGTACGAGCGAATCAAGCGTTCGTGCTTAAAACGAGGTGAACTTTGGGAAGATCCGGAATTTCCTGCGACCCAAACTTCTGTTTTCTATCACCAGACACCGCCCTTTCAATTTCAATGGAGGAGACCTAAAGTAAGTAAACTATTCTTCGATTCTTTTTTTTATCGCTTATTTTGCTAATTAAAAAGTAAGTATTCAAATATTATATTTTTCAAAAAAATGATTATAAATTTATTTATACATTGTCTGGGATCAGACTAAAAACCTCCGTATGATTGACCCTTGTTTTTGAGTATATGAGTGCGATGGTCGGTTCCTTGTTGTCATTGTGTATTACCATGTAAATGACGGTAGCTATTGCTAGTTGTGACGCGTCAGCAAATCCATGTAGTTCTATCATGGATGATTCTTCTGTTTTGAACCATCGAGGTATGGTTATTTCATTCAAACATTGTAGCTCCATTCTGATGGTGTGCCATCGGTTGATGACTTCGTTTGCGAGGGGTTCATCCCATCTGACTGTGTGAAGCCATAGTTCTTGAAGTAGTATCTTGGCTCGTATTACTACTGGTGATGTGAATCTCAATGGATCAAATATTTTTGCAATGTCAGAGAGGATGGTGCGCTTTGAGACGGTAGTTGCGTGAGGGGCCAATGTTGTTGAGAATGTGAAAACGTCTTCGTGTGATCTCCATTGTAGTCCTAGAATTTTGGTAGTATTTTCGCTTAAGTTTACTGGCTGTTCAGGATTTTGTTGTGTCTTCATTGCGGTGATTACTTCTTCGTTAGTGAAGTGCCATTTTGTCAATGGGAATCCGCCCGCCGTGCAGAGATCCCGTAACTGTGTTGCTGTTTCCACTAATTGGTTTAGATTGTCTGCACCTCCAAAGATATCGTCTACGTATCTTCCGTATTTGAGAGAAGGTATAGCGAGTGGGTAATTGTCTCCTTCGTCATCTATGAGTTGGAGGAGTGTTCGCACAGCCAAGAATGGGGCTGCTCTGGTTCCGTATGTGACTGTTGTCAATTGGTAAATGACTTCGTTGCCTTGTTCGTCCATACATAAGATTCGCTGTAGATCCCAATCGTCTTGGTGGACCAGTATTTGTCTGTACATCTTCGTGATGTCTGTGGAGAATAAATGCGTGTGTCTGCGTATCCAGATTAGTACGCCGAGAATGTCTGGATTTAGATTTGCTCCTGTATGCATTATGTCATTTAATGATCGTCCTGAGGATGAGGGGCTTGACGCGTTAAATACTACCCGTAGCTTGGTAGTAGTGCTGTCCGGCTTCAGTACACCATGATGCGGCAAATAGTAAGTTTTGTGGTTGAACGGGTGGTTCTCAGATAGTCTTCGCATATGATTCAATTTCTCGTATTCTGTCATGAATTGACTGTATAACGTGCGATAGTTGTTTCTCCAGAATCGTCTTTGTAGGCGGAGTAGACATTGATGGACAACGTTGTATATTCGCCGAGCGTGTCGGGTGATTCTGTGAGCGGGATTTTTACCATGTATCTTCCAGTACCTGCACGTGTCTGGTGGCCTTCGTAGTGCTGTTCACACTGCTGTAGATCTGGATTTAGTTTGCCGTCGAGTTCCCGCGGTACTTCTTCTTGTACCCAGAATTTTTGGTAGTAGATTTTGTAGGGTATCTTCCAGATCCTCAGTGATTATGGTAATTGATGTGGCTGTGTGAGAGAGACCGCTGGCTGGTCCGCTTATTAACCAACCGAAGATTGACAGTTGTGCAATAGGTGACGATGGTGAGTCTTGATGATGTCAGACTTTATCACTTGCCCATACAAGCATGACATGCTTGATATTAATTCTTCTGGTACTCCTTCCAGACAGTTCCGTAAATAGTGTAGTTAATTTATTGCTTTGAAGTACTAGAGATTGAAACAGGTCTCTGAATGAAGGCCATGATAGATAATTTCCGTTGAATTTTTGACTCTTGTTACAGTAGACACGTTGGGAGTGAGATTGATTGTGATTCCAATGCCTTTCTCCTTTTTTGTTCGCCGTTGATCACTCCCATGTCGTTTGGAGATTTTGGAATAGTTATGTCGGGATGATGAGTAATTTCTCGTGGATCTACTGCATGTGCCTTCTCTTCAGGCTTGGTAATTTTGCTTGTTTGTATTGATTCGCCTAATTCTTGACACGGCTTTCTGACATTCGCTTTTGCAGTAGCACAGCATATAGCCTCTTCTTCCACTGCCCCCTTTGTACAGTACTCATGATTGACACCTGTCGCTGTCCAGGTGGTTTGATTCGAGTTATATTCCATTGCGAATGTCTTATGTGATTCATCCCTGATGTCTTCCATAGATGATACCTCATCCATGTTGGAGTTTGTGCTCCATGTACTGCGCGTGATTGCACCTACTGATCCTTGATCTCCCTTTTGTCTTGGGTGGCCATGTTATTAAAGTAAGAACAGTAATAGTGTACTTACAGTGGTGAAGAAACTCTCCCTTTTGTATATTAATGATCCGTTACACTGTTGTTATAATTATGATTATTTTCCCGTAGTATAGTATTGGACGCATGCACTGATTTCCACATATCCGGCTCGAAGGACCAAATTGTCTGGGATTAGACTAAAAACCTCCGTATGATGGTGGGTGGAGGCTTGCTGGCAAGTGGAAGGAGCAATGTAATTATTCAATACTGTTCTTTGTGTTTGTAGTCATTACTTTTATTAATGTAATAAGTAATGAGTAGTTAATAATCTATTAATTATTATAATGAGTGTATGATATAGTGAATATATTAGTGTTTCTTCAGTAGTAGCGGTGACGATGAGTCTGCGCGTGTATTCTTGATGGCCTGAAGCGTGATTCCCCTTCTTCTTTGGTCTAGTAGTTGTGGTGGGGAACTCGTGGTGGTAGGGGAAGCAAGTTAGTGCCGTCTTGGTAGCCGGCGTAGGGTGAGCTGTAGTGTACTAAGTGGTGGAAGAACATCCGTGTGACGTCACAGCTTGTGTATGTGAGCTCCAAGGTAGTGGTGGTGTTGGTGCACGTTCGTGTACTCGATGCGAGCGTAACTCGCGGTGTACAGGTAAAGGTAAGAAATAGCTTCGACGTTACTTACATGCGGGCGTAAATCGCTTGTAAGGTCCAATGCAGAATGAGAGTCGGCGTTACTTGCACGTTGTGGCGGGAACTGTTTGATGTGCTAGCAGAGTGGCGATCGCGTGGTGAGGTAATATGCAAGAACGTGAGCCGGCGTTACTTGCATGCAGTCGAGAACTGTGTGATGTGCTAGCAGAGTGGCGATCCTGTTGTGATAAGTGCTTGTTACTAGTAAGGAGGAATTGCGGCGCGTGCAGTTCCTTAAATATTCTCGGACAAATTCGATGCGCTATCGGCGCATCGGTGGCTGTTACTATGCTGCTATTTTGTGTGACGTCAATTACGCATAGCTTTTTGGGGGTTCATTTGTTAATATTTTTCGGAATAATAGTCGTATGTTCGAGTTTTTCGGTTAGAAGCATTGGTTGAGTCCGTTGACCAATGTTTACCAAACAATGCTTCGCGCGCTCATACCTCTCCCACTTTGTATTCCGCTTAAAACTGTTGTAATCCGTAACATACATATTATTATAGTTTTTATAAATATACCATACAAATTAATTTAACGATCTAAGTAAATTTTTATATTATAAATAACAAATAAATAAAGAATTAATAACATATATAAAATTAAATAATTTTTTATTACTTATATTAGTTGGTTATTATGAATTGTAATTTTGTACCATTTATCCCTATTTATAAAGTGTTATATGATTGGCTTTATAATTTATATATTATATTTACCATTATTTACCATAGATCCATAAATTTTTTATATTTCAAACACTTCTAAATTTCTTGCATATAATCCAGTGATCTGTAACGGCAGCCCAACCTATTTAATTCTTATTTTCAGTATCAAGTATATTAGTTAGTTATATTATGTTCTATCTATTATAAATTGTTTCATATATTTCAAATAAAATTAATTTTTTATTTGTTTAAAACTAAAAAGTTATATTCAACACTATTTATATATAGAAATTATATAATTTAAATTATTTAGAATTATTTTATGTTTATATTTATAAAACGTAGAAAATTATCTTGTTTGAGTAATATTAGATATTTAAAAATTGAGAATTGATAGAATTGAACTGAAAATATATATTATCATTAATTTGAAGTTTATAATTATTATAATAAAATTCTTTTAGAATGGTAATCATTAAAACATTTTTTCAATATTTACTAGACATTTAAAAAATCCATATTAAATAAAACTGAAAATAATAGAAATTTTATGTGAATAATTTTTTAAATTGTACATAATTATTTTAGTTCCTTAACATTTTATAAAAAAATTAAAAATAAATAATTTATAAATTTACCAGCCCAATCACACATTTAAAAATGGCTAGTTTCGTAATAGATTTTTCAATTGTTTAGATACTTTAGGGATATATTTAATATTAACCTTACTTAATAAACACAATATATTATTAATTTTATTTTTAAAAAGTGTAAACAATATTGTTTCCTTCATGCATTTATTTTTGTTGACATCTTCATATCGAACATCTATGCCATCGACTTTTTGGCCAATTTCTCTTATATCTGATTCTCGCTCAACTATTATATCTATTGTATAATATATTAGAACATGTAAATCAATCGATAAAACCTATTATTTAATAAATACAAATTTAATTAAAAACAATTTTATTTCAAAAGTTAATATTTAGAACTATCTGTTTTTAAACATCAAAAATAAATTTATTTGAAAAATCTTTCATGAAATATATATTTTGCATTTGTTTTTTATAAATATATTCTTAGTAATTTTTTAAAAAATTAAAATGTTACGGATTACAGCAGTTTTAAGCGGTATACAAAGTGGGAGAGGTAAAGACACCTGTGCTTAGTTAGAAACATTTGCGCGCCGAGTCATAAACTCAATTCTGCGAAATATTACATTATAATTTTGACTAACAAGGCCGACGAACTCTCAAAGGCTAGACTCTGGTGACGTCACTCTAACAATCGGCATGGCAAGAGTGATCCGGTAGTCACCCGATCCGCAAGCTTGTACTAGGATATTTAAGGAGTTGCGCTTGACGCTCTCGCCCTTGCTAGTACCGATCATGCGCTCTTCACATCAGGCTCGCTATCCAACCTGCAATCGCCATCATGAAGCCGTAGCAAGCATTAAGTAACCTAAAGAACTAATAGCGATGCCACAACTATACCGGCACCCACGCCTCCATAAGCAACGCACCACGCTCATTCGTTACTACTACTCTTACTAGTTCAATCAAGCATTCATCAAGACAGGATCGCCATTCTACAGATCGTCTCCAACTCATATGTAAACCAAGCTCATTCGGATTACTACTACTACAGAGATCGACTCCAATCCGTACATAAGTTACGCTATTACACACGCTCTTACGTACCATCAAACAACTGAGATCGATTCCAACACAAACGTAAGCTACGCTATTACACACGTTCTTACGGCTCATTAATACACGGCTCCCGTCCACTACGTAAGCAGCAACACACTAGCATACACCAATACCGCCAACTACCTATATCATGGTATACAGTACGAGTGAATATCCCACCCCGTCATGCAGTACCGTCACACATATATCCTCCCACCACCAGACCACTACAGCGCTCATCCTACGCCAGCGACTAAGGCGGCCCCAACTCGCTGCCCCTACCAGCGCGAGTCTCCCAATACTACGAATTCATAAGGAGAAGGAGAATCAAGCTCCAGGCTATCAAGAATACACTTACAGAATTATCGGTACAATTATTAATTGAAGAAACTCTCATCCATTCATTGTATCATACATTCATTTTGACACCCATAGATCACTGACTATTTATTATATTTATTATATTCAATAAAGGGAAAGACACTATACTCTAAAGGCAGTGTTGAATTATTGCATTGCCCCTTCCACTTGCCAGAAAGCCTCCATCCACCATCACAGGGAGGCTTTTAGGCTTTTAGTCTGATCCCAGACATAAAAATTACCTTTATTTGAATTGATAATTAATATATTGATTAGACATTATATTATTATTTGATTAATTTATGTATTTATTTGAAATTTCAAGAAATGCAGGTTATATTTTTAAAAACACTAAGTATAAAATTGTATAAAGTAAAATTATAATCATTGTGTTCGAAATTGTAAGAATATTTCCAAGTCATTAGATATCTGGAAAACTAGCTATGAGAGTTCCGAAAAAACCAAGTCGTTAAGCATCTGACAAAAACATGTCATTCTAATTTGTGAAAAACAAGTCATAAAAATATAAGGAAAATCTCCGTCACTTGACACCTGGAAAAAGGGTATTACAGGTAACATTGCAGTATACGGCGCACAACGCATACGCATACGCATACGCTGATGTCAAATCTAGCCACATTTGGCTCGAATAGAGAAGCGAGAACGCGCCAAATAAGTCCCCCTCATGGTGGGAATGCAAGTAAGGAGCGCTCTAATTGGAGAGACCAAAAAAGAGGCGCTCTGATTGGAAACGCCAAGGAGGAGGCAATTTGTAAAGACCACGTGGTGGCCGAGAATGTTTTTAAGAAAGACGCCGGCAAGGCTTCTTCTCCAAAGCAACGCCAAAGAACAAGGATGTAGACATACACAGTAATGGCCAAGAATTAAAATGAAAAGGCTAGTCATATCCAACTCATAACAATTGCAAGATAAGTGCAAATCAAATCATACACTCGCAGCAGTGTAAGAAAAGGAAAAGGGAACAAGAAAACAGTGGTTCCCAGAGCACAACATAATCATAACCTATAAGGAGCCGCTCGAGGCAAATTCAGTAAACAATACGAGGTATAGCCAGCAAAACACAAAACAGACACTACAAGCTGCCGCATGAGGCAAAGCCTGCAGACATCACTAGCTGCCATCAAGAGCACAAAATCTGCAGAACTCACAAGGTAAAAGTTCCATTCTTTAATAATGATAATAATATACAATATGCCTCACAAGACAAAGTACTGTAGAGCGACCAAGCGCGCACAATCTGCAAACGCATAAGGCGCAAGTTTAGTTCCCACAAGATAGATTTACGAAGCGCCGTACGCGGCAATATCTGCAGACCAAGATGAAGTGCCACCAAGAGCACACCCGCAGGGCCAACAAGGTAAGCAATAAGCCAATAACAAATCAAACTCAAGATACTGCCATGTGCTACTACACAAGGAAGCACGGGGGTTTAACGACCTTGTTCTTCTATGAGTATAACACCACCACCAGATGCATTACATATAGAGGACCAGAAGGCTACGCCGTTCTACCTGTACATATAGTGCACGTTACCACCACGTAGCAGCCATAAAGGAACAGGATAAAAATCCATCATCAACACTTAGAATTATTATAGTGATTTAACGGGATGACAGCAATAAATACCAATAAAGAAAGAAAGTATTAATTATTGAATACATGCACTATCCTGTCCACTTGCCCACAATCCTTCCATCAACTATCTGGGAGTTTCATCTAACTATAGATATTTGGCCTTCCTAGTCTGGTACTATATTTTTAGACACATTGATAATTAACGTTTCAGTAAAATACAATAAATAAGATTTCTAATATATTGCTAAACATTCATTAATTGACTAAATAAATAATTAAGAACAGTATCAGTATTATTATGCATAAACCATATTGTGATTAGTGTCAATAATGACTTCACAAAAACATTAATTTGTGTATTCTTAAAATTAGTGAATAAGCGTTAGAGCATTTAATTCATCATGTTATACGATTTGTACTGTTTGCAAATTACTAATAATTTTTTGTATTTATTTATTTAAAGGAACTCTCTAATAGACCAATTTTTGTCAGTGACACACCAACACAGTTCGACGTCATTCCAGGTAAATTAGGTAAGCTATTTATTTTTAATACAAACAAATTATACAAACATTTTGAATTAATTCTTTAATTTTGAGTGTGAATTGATCAATTAAAAATATAATTTAAAATATATTGATAAAGCGTTTTTAATTTATTTTTCAAATACCAGTATAAATTAAACAATTTATACATAATTTTGTAAAACAAATAATTTTAATTAACTTATTGAGAAATCACTAATATATTTTAAAAATGATGTCCAAATATTATTATGCTAAAAGAAATCTATTGCATTATGTCATATCATATAATCAATATATTTCATTTCATTTTTACACTCGTTTTATTATTATTGTTTTAGGTTTTGAATTTGTTTCAATTCACAATATTATCCTCTATGCGTCGATAAAAAAATATTTCAATACTGAAATAGCTTACTTTACATTATAACTTCATAAAAATAATTAATCAATATAATAAATATTTTATATTTTAAACAAAAAACATTTTATAACAAATTATATAATTGTTGATTGATATATATTTAAAAACATTTATAATAAATAAGAAAGCTGCAAATTTTTCAGATTTTCATACAAATAATTATGCTTAGATTGTAAAAGAATTAATTTTTTAAAATTATGAATAACATTTGAAATAATTCATTTAAAGTCTTTATATTCATAAGAGAAAAATTAAAATTTTTCATTCAACTATTTATTTAAATTAATCTATTAAATTATAAGTTTTTAAAAATTTTATTATTTATCTATTGTTATTAGTTATTTGTTATTTTCAATCTGCAAATTTACTAATGTCAGGACAGATATTTTATGCTCGTAATAAAACTTGTATGAAAAACGGAAAAAATATATAATTTGGTTAAGTACATTCTTTTAGATTGATAACAGATGAACAGATCATTGGAAATGACTATAGAAAATTAGGTTCTCAAAGAACTTTCAACAAGTTCTAGTCATTCCTCCACTTTTGACTTTTTAAAGCTACTTCAAAAAGAACATTTCATCAGTAATAACTCATTTTTCTTCTTCATTTATAAATAAAAAAGAGTTAAACAAAATTATAAAAAGATAGTTTTTTTCAACAAATTGATAGAAAAAAACTATTACGATAATACATTATTTATCTATTTCAGCTATGACCCTGAATGTAATTATATATTGGTTACCATATATCGTAGATATATCAAATATTGTTTTAAATTCAAAATATTTTTAGTATTAACAAAATATATGTTAATATATTTGAATTTCCATTAGTATGTATGTTTATCTACATATGGGGATATTTCTAACAAGAATAAAATATTATTATTAATATTTCATTTATAAATATTAATGTATAAGTTGATATAGAAAATAAAACTTATATAGTTATAATAAATATTTATGAATATATTTTAAATTAAATAAATCTATAAATTGCTGTATAGATATTTTATAGCAATTTTTCAGAATTAATTTAGTTATAAAGATTTTTGGATCTTTAAATATACATAAATTTATTCATTTGTGTTTATTTTACTTAAACAAAATGATTAATCAATTGATTTCTTTAAAATATTATCAATATAATTACATTATAAAATCTGTATTTACATTTAAAAATTTAAATATAAGAAAGCTTATATTATACTTATAAAACTTACCTTTATAGTTTATTTAATTCATAAAAAATATATACTTATATAAGAATAATAAAAGATATTACGTGTATTAATAACACTATTAATATGAAATTAAATTCAATAAAGGTAGTAGTTATTATATTTTTTGTTTATAATTTTTAAATCTTCTTAAAATCTTAGCTATTATTAATATTCTCAAATTTAGTTTAAAGCTTTTTTTTAATTTTAAAGATTATTTTTAACGAATTTTAAAATATTTATGAATTTACAAACAAGAGTACATAATTATTTTATATAAAAACAATAGAATATTATTTAGTAATTTGTTCCTTTATTATCTTGTTTTAATATTTTACATTCACTGCATTAAAAATAAAATATGATAATTATTAATACTAATATAATATCGTAGGCTTGAAAATAATTCAAACAATATAACTTTTATTTTAACTATAATATTTTATAATAGTTATTATAATATAATTTAATTTATAATATAATTTAATAATTGTATATATTAATATATTATGCAATTATTTATTTATAACATATATTTAATTGTCGTTGACGATTCTAAGTATATTTAATAAACTTAATTTTTGTATTATATATAAGTATACTTCAATGGAAAGTGAAAGTTGTATTAAAGTCGAAATTATAGTAATAATAATTTTTACATTTCATAAGCTATTTGAAATAATTAGCTTCATATGATTTTCCAAATTAAATTTATAATATGAACAATTACTTAATGAAGTTATACTTTGTAGGTGACAAATGGCTTGTTTCTTGTCTTGGTGTTCTGCATTTAAGCAAGGGTCTTTTTTACCGAGTTGTACCCGCCGATCAAGGATTCGGTAATTACAATGGCAATGATGTCGGTGGTGTCGATAACGAATCCCTGGACTCGCCAAAACGCGATTATTGCGGCGTTTTTAGGTTCAGACTCTGGTGGTGCGGTACATGGGTTGAGGTCCTTGTCGACGATCGACTGCCTGCTGTTCATGGACGGCTCGCCTTCGTGCAAAGCCGTCACAGTGAACAATTTTGGCCTGCTCTTCTTGAGAAAGCATATGCCAAGTGAGTTTTTTTATATATATGCACAAATTATACACTAATTATAATATGTCGAATTGTATTGTTTATTGTATGTCATTTTCGTGCTAGTGAAAACAAAGCGGAATAATAAATCTTTGATTCTTACATGCACCATAATTGAATTTATAACTAAGAATTTAATAGAAATTTGATAAAATAAATTGTTAAATTACATAGTTAATAATAGTTTTACTTTATTCTATGTGTTAAAGATTTGATATTTTACTTGTAAATTTTTCAGTTATTTCATATGAAAGAAAAATTAGAGTATTGCAATAATTTCTTAATTAAAAATTTTATTTAAAATTTTTAATTAACTTTTATCTACGTGTTTTACATTTCATTAATACAATAAATTAAGAATCTTTAAACAAAAATTATAACGAAACTGAAATACCAGATTACCATGAAAGAATACTGTAAAGCATTTGCTCTAACAAAAAATAATTTAGTAAATAAAATTTTATATACTCCCTATTTTATAAATGTATTTTTTTATGTGAATACGGATATATACAGATATAGCACATGAATCCAAGAAATTAAGGGAATTTTTGTTAGAATATTATTTTTCAGTGTTATTTTCTACTTGCTTACGCCAATAATCCCATAGATATATTTTATTCATCATAATATTCTACAGAAAAATAATATAATAAATTATAATTTCTGATTAGTATTTAACGAAATTATTGAAATTTTTTTACATGAAATGACATTTGTTTTAAAATGTTATTTATTAAATTTATTTAAACTTTTTAATTGTTGCGAATGCTAAGATAACAATTTAAAAATTAGTTTATAAAAATGATTGCAGATTGATACAAAATAAATAATACAAAATAAAGTCTAAGAAATAGAATAATTCTTTTACTTATATTCATTATATACATAGTAATTGTATCTTATTTTTATCCTTATTTCAGGGTATTTATAACTTTTTTACAAATATAAAATTACTAAGCTAAATTAATACTTACCTGAATTATGTATTGAAATTAAATTATGTAAATATATATTATATATATAATTATTAAGACAAAATTATTATTTATTGATAGTCTTTACCAAAATACTTTATATATTTAAATATATTGAATATCTCTGTACATATTTATATATTATTTAATAGATTAAATAACGCGAATTTAACTAAGTAGCTTAAATGCAAAGAAATAAATATATATAACTTGTATTATCTTTTAATTAATTCCTCAAATTCAATCTAAATGCAATTTTTTACATTATAATATTATAACTCAAACTCATTTATTAAAGTAGATTTGAAAAAAGATTAAGTAACATAGGTACTTTCTTTCAATTCTTACTCTCATTTTTAAATATATCCTTTGAAAAAAGTATCTCTAGCAATATCAACCACAATATTTATATGCTAATAGCAGCATGTAATAGTTACATAATTTTTATTGTTCTAAAATTATAATATTGTAATAGTTAAGTAATTTTTATTTCTTATCGCTTGTCATTATTTTTTTTTCATAACCCCGTGTTTTCTTTATTGTTAAATTTTTTTTCTAAATCAAATAAGAAATTATAAAAAAAATTTGTCATCTATCAAATTTAAATTATACTTAACAGACATAAGGAAATTAATGAAACGTCATTTTACGAGATATGTCAATATTATTAAGGTAAATTTTAAAGAACTGAATATAGATTTGCAATTTGTTATTGAAAATGTTTTATTTTTTTGAATTTCATGTAATATGTTATTCATGAATAAAATTTGAAGTTAAGAAAACAGTTATCGGAATTAAAAATATCTATTTGTAGTTAATTTTCATGTTTTAATTCATATAAATTATTTAATCATTTATATAAAATTGTATAAAATGTTATATTAAATATATTTATAAAATATAATTTTAAACGTAAATTTTAATCTAGTATTATTTATAATATAGTATAATTAATCTATAATGTATTTGTAAATTATTTTTAAAATAATAGAAACTACAATATGTAAATCGTAAACTAAATAAATAATGTAACATTGACCGTGAATAGTTTTTTTTTATTAAAAACGAATATTATAAATCAGAATAAATTGTAATCATATTTTATTTTCATTTATTTTATGTTCTACATTGATGTTCCTATTTAGTTTTTATTTAGGATACTAATGTTATCAGTTAAAGTTATCTGAACAATAACTGTTTGACTGTACGTAAAGTATTATTCAAAATAATGAAAACCCTTTTATGTGATATAAAAATTGAAACCATAATTAAATATGGGTTTTCACGTCAAAGGTACATGATTAAAGTTTTGTTTTCTTATCTCGATTTAATAACTTTTTAATTATGCAGTATCAAGTTATCATTAGTATTTCTTCAGTATGATTAACTGTAGATTGATTAAATCAACATTCAATCAAATTAAGACAGAAAAATACTGTAAACTTCTTCGTAATTCTATGTCTTATTAAATATCTATAGTAACTTTTTGGCTCCATCGGTACTCAATACTTAAGGCTTTTCAGTTACTTTTTCGATTTTGTTGTATAGATATATCTCCTTCGATAGACATTCATTGGTGTATTTCCGTGCAATATTCGTCTTCTTTGAAAAAATACTGACGGGTAGGCGTGTGATACATCTCATAGAGATAAGGTTTTCCTGATATTTGCTATTGATGTATCTCTGAAATTCGAATTGGTGATATCATTTTCTGTGTGAGTGAATACTAAGTGAATCATAATAATTATATTTGAGTTAAAATTCCACTTATATATAATTTATTTATTTTACTATAATTTGTTAATTTTATTGTATTTATTTGTGTATTACTACTCTTATAATTGTTATAAAGTATTCATATTAAATAGTATTTATATTATTTCTGCTTTATTTTGGCTCTCAGTTCACTTATTCTACAGCAACTATACAGTATTTAATTGATTGTACAAATACTACATAAAAACATATTTTTAGCATAATTTTGAAATAAGTTTCCTTTTTTTTAACTTCTCTGTAGACAAATTATTACAAAATATTTCACTTCAGCTTTTAAAAATTTTAAATAGAAAACTTTAAATTATAGGTATTGTATTTTACATAATTAATAAATTATAAATATTACTTCATCAAATATTTACTTTATCAAATAAATCATTTTGATTATTGAAATTATAATGTAACCATGACAAAAAACATTGTAAATGTAATAAGTAAATTTTTCAAATAACTAGAACAACAAATTAATATTTGTCTGTTTATTATTAATAAGCACATTATTTCTTACCTTTTTAACTTATAAAGCCTCCAATCGAAAGTTATATAATTTGAATCTTATAACAAATGAATTAACTGTGGGTATGAAAAAAATATTTTGTTGAAGATAAAAGATCAAACAATTTCATAAATGAAGATCTATAAAACTAAGATTTCAAATTTATCGGTATTTAATTTATTAACGCTGTTACAAATTTATTTGTAAAATATAGTACGAACAACTCGATTTTTCGCTTTTGTACTTATAACCGAATTAAAACTAACAGTTGTCCAACAATTATCAGTTTTTGTGAGAGGTACCAGTATAAGAAGATATTTATTTTCATAACAGGATTTGCTTCCACGTACGTATTATTTAAGGTAAAAAATTTGTTAGTACTGAATACAATTGAATGATAAATGAATCGAATTTATTCGAAAATAGGTATAATAACAGGCAGGTACAATTTTCAATTTTCTAAATCCTCGGAACATTTGTCTTTAGATGATATCTTTAACTATAAGAATGGTTGTTGCTCTTTCCAAATATTATAATGAATATTTCTAAAAATTAATTAATTTTTTATAAGTTCTTTTATAAGTTTTATTTTGTTTATAATTGTAAAATAGCAATGAAATATATAATAATGCAATAACAAAATTAAAGATTAATCCAAATTGAAGATTAAAAACTTTTGATTTAAATAAATTTTAAATAAATTTAAAAATTAAATATAGTCAAATTATATGTATTTTTTATTTTTAATGTTATATATATTTTTAGAAATTTGAAATTAAAAATTTCAAACTTTTAAGGATTTAGTAAAAATAAAAAAAGTTAAATTCTTAAAAGTTTTAAATGCTAATTTTTTATTTTTTTCTTAAGTAATGATTAATAAAACAATTATAATATTTCTTATTAATTTATTTTAAATTAACGAATAATTGCTTTTTTTATTTATGAAAATAAACAAAAATACAAGATAGATAGATAAGTGTTATCGGTAGAAGTTTAAAAAAAGGAATAGCATTTTGAATATTTTAAAAATTATTATTAAATATAAGATCTTGAAATATTCGACTTACATATTAAAATTCTTCAAAAAAGTCGATGGTATTTTAATTAGACAATACATAAGATATTTTGAATAAGTATGTAATAATTAATATCATTTTTCCGTGAAGGTCATGAAAAAAACAAATAAAAAATCGTATTCCAGTAACTGCAGCTTAATAAGTACTAAACGGATCCGTTTTCGATCATATGTGCAGACTTCATGGGTCATACGAAGCGCTTAAATATGGTACTTTGCTAGATGGTTTGTCGGACCTTACGGGTGGTATTACCGAGAACATCGCTATCCGTCAAGATCCTACTGGATGTGGTCGAGCACTTGCCACTCTCCTCGATATGACATCTCTCATAACCTGCACTGTTAGCAACAGTCAACAACAGGTAAACCAAAATCAACGTATGCTCTTTCGCTGATTTTTCAGTATGTGTATGGTACGAGAAAGAAACCTCATACAATATTCCCAAATTATTTATTTATTTTGCCATATATTATTATGTAATAATTATATTCAAATTTTAAAAGATACAATATTCATAAAACGTAAGCTTTATTAAATATATATATATATATATATATATATATATATGTGTGTTTTTCATTTAAAAACAATAATTTCTATTTACACATTATTAATTTGTTAATAATATATGTATATTTTATTTTAGTACTAATATTATTTTAAAATTATTTTTATTTAAAAAAATTAAACTTTTTGGTCTCTAATAAATAAAATTATTTTTTAACGTTGAGTAATAAAAAAATACTATAGCAGTACAGATTATAGAAAATTTACAGATCTATAGATTGTAAATACTTTTTTATATTCTTTATTCATCATACCCTAAATTGCTTTATATTGTTTTATTATTAAATAATTATTAAATATTAAAAATATTATTAAATAACTTTTTGGTTTATTAGATACGCAATAGTGCGGAAAAATTGGCAAATGGAATACAAATTGGAATTAATTATAGGCTTTACGCAATTGAAAGGGTGAGTGAAACAGAACTCATTTTCAAACTATGTTAAGACGAATCAATATTGCTACTGCTTATTTAATTGTATCTGCACTTTGTATTGATAATTATTATTGTATTTTCATGTAATTAAATTGTTAATTCTATTAAATTTATTTTGTATACTACAAAAACATTTTAACATTAACTTCATTTTAACTTCATAATTTGTATAATAAAATATGTGAATAAATACCATTTTACTGTTTCACATTACTATTATTCTACATTTTAATTGGTTAGTTATTTAATAAACAATATAATTATAGAAATTTATAACAGCTATAAATTGAAATATGTCGATAGTAGAATGTATAGTACATTGTATTTAAATATTTATGTACAGTTAAATATTTTAAATACAATATATAAGTAATTGACATAACTTTGCTCTGAATAAAATTAAATGATTTATTTTTAACAATAATTGATGTATGATAATAATTGATTGGATTGTTAATTTATTATCAATACCAAATTAACGAATATGAATAAGTAATATATTTTTTTAATTGTTATAAAATTATTTTTAAATACAAAAAATGTATTATGTCCTTCAAATATATACCGGTAGTTTCTTTTTTAATTAAATATTTTAAAAAATCAGCACACTTCTGAACAATTTATGTAAATAATGTTTCATTTTGATAAACTGTAAATAAAGTTATGGATATTAATTGTAATTCTGTTAAATTTATTTTAAATATTTAAAATCAAAAATATTTTTTATTGTACGCTTACTCAAATATGTAAATAATATATTTTTAATAGAAATGGATGGGTCACTAAATTTTGTTCTTTTTATTCAAATATAAACATGAATAAGATGATAAATTTGTCGAATTATGTTTGTAAGATGGATATAAAAGTATATTGAAAATTTGCTATACATAACATACATTCTCTCTCTTATTTGTGTGCAGTCAAAAACTATTCTATGAATGGTAAGCATACTATGATTGTTTGTTTATCATTGTTATTAAATGATTTTTTTATAAAAAATTAACTATTTTACAAATAATTTTGTCTAAAGTAAAAAAAAATTATTTTTTAATTTACCTGTTGACATCTTTGAATTTTCATATATTTATATAGGTGGAAACCTTCAGCGGAGAGGCAGTGCAACTAGTAAAACTTCGCAATCCCCTTGGACCTGGTGGCGAATACGTAGGCGCATGGGCCCGGGGAGGTCTTGAATGGGACGAAGTTCCACCCGTCGAACGCGATCGTCTAATCGTACGCAATATGGCCGACGGAGAATTCTGGTGAATACACATTTATCAAACGATCAATTCACGAAAAGGAAATAATAGTATATTTTTGAGGCACAAAGGCACAAGATGATATACTTTTTAATATGTTAATATACGAAATATAGTTATTAAATTATTAGCTATTAAAATTAAAAAAATTAAAATATCAATGATTTGATGCTTGAGAACTATTAGGCACAAATATACTGATAATTATAAAATTGATAATTTATTTAACTTAATGTTGAAAATTGAAAAGACAAAGGGACAATATATTTTGCACATGTTTTATGTAAAATTCCTTAATAAAAAGACGTGTTATGCATTTACATTATGCAATGCAAAATATAAGTACAATCCATTATATTCACAAATGATTGTCTCAGGATCTCGTACTCAGACTTTGTGAAGACATTCACACATTTGGAGGTTGTACACCTTGATGCGGAAACTTCGCGAGACGAACCATCTTTCCATAGTAAGCAAACATGGCAAATGAAGCTGTATCAGAGCAGTTGGAGGAGAGGTGTTACTGCTGGAGGGTGTCGAAATAATCAAGGTTCGCAAATTTTCTCTTATGCTCATAAATTAAGCCTTACTTTTAGAAATTAATAATCTTATTTATGTTATTGTATTTCCTGTACAATTACTATATTATCAGATGCTAAATATAAACAGTTTAAATACAAAATATAGATTATTGACAGTTATTATTAACAAATTTCAATTGTGAATTAATTTCTAGAAACATTTCATATCAACCCCCAATTGCATCTTATTCTCAGTGAAATGGATGAAGTAGTAGTTTCGTTAAATCAACACTCTATTATGGAACCGAAGGTAAAGTATATTTTATTTTGATCATTGCTTTTCTTATATATGAGTAACTGTAAATCAATAGTATTACATATAGCATTAAAAATTATGATAAAAATATTATTAAACACAATTTTTTTTCTTAATAAAATATGCCTGTTTTAACATTAATAAATAGATTATTTGAATCAATCTGGTTTAATATATAAAAGATATACACCATTAATTTAATAACTTTTAATTACCATGTTAAGATATATTTAGACAATTATATTTACAAATATATTGATATAGATATAATATTTACAAAAATAATAAAAATATTTTTTTCAGAATATTTAAAATATGATTATTAATTTTGACTAGCTATTAATTAAATCAAAATAAAATTTATTTCAAACAGTCACGTGCAAATTATTTAAAACAATATTAAAAATAAGTTAAATTTCTAGGTAATTGGTTTTACGGCATATGCTTTACCAAAAAATAGTGCCGAGTCTATCAATAAACAATTCTTTAAAAAGAATAAATCTTTAATAAATTCACAATATACAAATAGCCGACAAGTGAGTCATAGATGTCAACTGGATCAGGGATGCTATCTTCTGATTCCAACGACGTTTGAACCAATTCAAGAAACAAGTTTCACATTACGGGTTTATAGTAGCAAACCTCTTAAACTTAAGTAAGTTGTATTATTAACGTAAAGTATTGATACTCCAATGATTTTATTATCAAAGCCGTATGACTTCTTGAACGAAATACATTACAATTTTTATAAGCTAGCTTATCATGAAGATTATAATATGTTTATGATAAATTTTATTATTGTTAACAATTTCATTAAATGCGTATAAATGTACTTTAATTTTGATTTAAAACTATATATTGTAAAATAATTTAAATCCTAATTGATGTTATTTTCCATGATATCATATGTTCTCTCTTTTTTTTAAATATATATCTACTGAAAAACATCTGATATGTTTTACATAGACCACTGATATATGTAACTAATATAAGATTTAGTTATTTTGACTGTTTAGATGTTTTATCTACTTAATTATAGTAATAATAAGATACTGTAAACAAGAATAAAGCTGTAATTGTTTTATAATTATACAAGATTATATCTGTTTATCTTTGGAAGAAAAACTCATTATCTACTTTTTTTTATCTTTATCTTTTATTTTAGATTGCTTGATACACCACCAACTTTACTCAAAGCTGCAATCATCAAAGCTCCACCTCTTGAAGGCAAAGGGTTTTCTCAATATGAATCTGTATTCCTTCAACTTGCTGATGAACATAGAACTGTTAATGCATTTGAACTCCAAGAACTTCTTGAAGCTTGTTTGCCAAATGGTAAAAACAGATTTCTTTAATAATTCATAGTGAATAATTTTTTTAATAATGCATTCTTTTTTATTTTTCATATTATGTTTTTATATTTAAATGATTTAATAATAGATTTGTATTACAGATTACATTAAAAGTTGTGCCTGCATGGATGTTTGTCGTCAAGTCATACTTACAATGGATGTATCCTCTTAAAATACTATTTTCTATAAAATATCATTGTTTTTAATTTGCAGTCATCAAGAAAATTATATTTATATATTGAAGTTTATACAGTTGTGTACATTTGAAACGAAAAGTAAATTAATATACAAACAATCGATATATTTAAATTCTTGCCAATAATTATAAATATAATTATAGGAGATAATTGGGTTCACTGGAAAATTAAAATAATGACAACAATCTTATTAAATAATTTAGAAAATAATATATCAATAAATAAACTTCCAGTGTTTTAAAAAATTTAATATTAATCTATTTTAATACGTACTATAGTATAACGTACTTGGTTTTGCCATATCTGTAAAGATTTTTTAGATATTATAAAGTTCGAGTAATTAATCGTTTAAAATTAAAAATTTTTTATAATTTAACAAATGGAAAATTTGGAATATAATTGCTATACTTGTGTTCTTACTATCATACCTTCTTTTAATAGTTATTAAAAATTTATGTTTAATTTGAATTTCTTTAAATATTAATTAATTTTATAAAATAAACTTAAGAATGGTTTGCAACATAATTTGTTTAAAAATATTGATAATAATCTAGTATATAGTTATTAATTTCAAACTAAAAATAATATAACTTTTATTTAGTTATATTTTAAAATATATTTCAATATAAATATAAAACAAAAAATAGAAAGTAATACAGTATTTGAAAAATCATTAATTTATTATGACATTCTAAGTATAAATTTGCATTATATATTTTATTAACATTTTCTGTGATATTCTTATGAATTCTTGTGAATTTCTAATCTTTTAAAATTTTATTTAATAATATTGAATACTAAATATTATTCAACTAAATTGTTTGAAATTAACATTTTAAAATAGACTTTACCGTATCATATCTTAAATTTAGACCAATATTACGTATATATTTATATTACATAGAATTCTAAGATTTTTCTTAACTATAAAAATAGCATACTGGAAGTGGAAGATTAAAATTTAATGACTTCAAAGATATGATGTGTAGCTTGAAGTATTGGCAAGCAGCATTTAAAAATCACACAAAAGAAAAAACAGGCATTTTAAAGGCTGAAAGACTTCGTGATGCTTTACTTGAAGTTGGTGAGTAAAAAGTTTTATAAAATTTGATATATATATAATACACATTTAAAAATATCTTTAAATTATATTAACTTCATCAATAATAAATTTTAATTATATTTATACAGATAGTATTTTTCTTGTATGAAAACATTTATGATGCAGTATTTATTAAAAAAATGCATTATTTAAAGGAAAATTAAAAAATTCATTAAATTATTTAAATTTTAAAATATAAAAGATGTATTTTATGGGAAATATTATTCTACAAATAACTTTTAATTTCAGGTTTTCAATTAAATACGGATGTATTTTCTCTAGTTATTTCGCGGTATATGAGAAAAGATGGAACTTTAAGATTTGGAGATTTTGTATCAGCTATTTTGCATTTAAACGATGCTTTTGGTAAAAATTTCTTAAAATATTATGATTCAAAAAATTAAATATGTTATTAAAATTAATTCTTATGTATAGCTATTTTTGAAAGTAAAGATCCACTACAAAATGGAGCAATTAAGCTTAGTTTAGTAGAGGTAAGGTCTAAAAATTTAATTCAATCTACATTTTAATGTAATGTAATTATATTTTTTTTCAGTGGCTTCGATCATCACTCATGTGTTAATTCATTCTTAATTAATTCATAAATTATTTGTTTTGGGTCAGTTGTAAATAATCCATCATAAATTATTAAGTATACGTAAAATCTTAGCCATACTAACAAATACTATTTTCTTAATACATTGTAATATAGTCATTTATTAGTATATTTAACACTCATCTTATTCTTTAAGATAAGTTTGTATAAATCTTTTTATGTACAATAAAATTATATTAGTTAATATAATTAAGTATATTTTGTATAGTTTTTTTAACGAAAAATTTATTATATTTATAAATTGAATAAAAACAAAAATTAAATGACTATTCAATTATGAAAACAATCGTGTTCAGTATTGACGCACCCATCAATAAAATTTTATTCCATGAAATTTAAAGGCATTACAATTTGCAATATAGGAAAAATTCGCTACGAAAATTCTCGGTAAACGTCAAAGCCTTACAATTTATCCGCATAGCAACTAAAGAAGATTCTCGAATCGAGTAAAGCTCACTTTTCGAAAACTTGACAGAATTTCTCAGAATTGTAAACACTATATCTACGCAACCATATATAAGGAGCAGCAAAAGAGCGTCGAAATACATTAGTATTGTTGAGTAAGTCAGTGAAATAGTGCAATTCACATAGTAAAGTTTTACACGTCTGTCTACGAGAATCCGTGCAAGGTGTTCTTATTTGTTTACATTATTAATTGCTGATCAGCTAGCGGTACGCCCTCCGCAACTTGACACTTGTCTGACAGTATTGACGGCGCCGGTATAATTTGGCATCACCAGCAATTTATTTATATCATTTATTGTTATTACGACACAACCCGGCTTTATCGGTTAGGCCCCTGTAACTTGATTCTTATCATACCACGGAAGAGGGCGCCGATACTGTCCAGTAGCTCCGGATATACTATCGTTATTGCGATACAGCTCCGACATTATCAGTCAGGCCTCTGCAACTTGATTATTATCAGACCGCTGAAGAGGGTACCGATATTGACCAGATAGTCCCCACAATTCATATCGCTAATGAGAGCGCTCATGGCCGCGTCTCTCGCGAATTTACCTCCCATAATTACTGTTACGTTTCGCTAGTATAACAAAGCGCATACAGTACAAACAGACCAGTCTTGTCTTGCACACTCGGATGATGCCCTGCAATTTTTCTGCCAACATCAGGATCACGACGAGCTCAACAATTCTCACACAACCGCTAACACCAATGATCACCTGCAATATAACTTTAAATAAAAGTTACTAAGGTCAATACCAGAAATTAATTCAATTCCTTGTTTTTTATTGTAACATTTTTTATTTTTGTATTAAGTAAATACTCTGTAAATAAAATATCTTTATACAAATATACATTTTCTGAATATTTTATTTGCTTTATTCGAACTTCAAAGAATAACATTCACAGTGCTCTGCATTTGCCAAAATATTGTCTTTTATATTTTATCACTATTAACAACAAAATCATAAATTATTGTATTCATTCAACAATATATTTATAAATTTTGTAATTTTTAATTATTTTTTTTTATCAAAAATGTATTTATGACTGTTAATAAGACATCCATTCAATTTTAATCACTCAATTCAAAGTTAAACCTAAGTCATGAATATTATTTTAATTTATTTTCATCTAAAAATTTCTTAGCTATATAAATGTAATTAAAAAGGACTAAATATTTTAAATTATTTATTTATTAATGTCAATACCAGAATGTAACAATATTTTTTGTAATGAATATTATATAATGTCAGTATACAGTTACAAATCAATCTATATAAAATTTTATAATCATGTTATCAAAAAAATTTTTTGCATAACTTTACTGTGTAACTTTAAAAAAAAATTATTATTTTATAAAATAAAATTGATTTTGCTATTTGAATTGATTATTGCTTTGAAAAAATAGATGTTTTTACTTTATTTTAAAAAAAAATTTTTAGATAGGAATTATAAAATGGTAGATTGAAATAATTATTCATATATATCTTTTTTGAAACATGTTTCATATTAATGAATCACTTATAATGAAGATCATAGTTTAATTTTTTCATTAAATATACGTGCATTAAAAATTATATAAATTATTACATTTTTATATAAATACTTTAATTTAATAACACAAAATAATTTCATTTTATAATTAATATATATAAATATAATACAAAGTATAATATTCAAACGGTTAAAAATATACCTATAAAAAGTAACAATTATTGATACATGATTAATTACTATTATTCGGATAAATATGAATTTATACACTTCCATTCTATAACATACATTGTTTTATTTAATATTAATACATTTGGTGTCATATTTTATAAAACGTAGTATGCAATTTTTTAATGCATAAAAATAAATCTTTGAAATTATTCTCTTTTGTTTGGTTACTTAAATGACAAATTATTATTTTAATTAAAATTTTGATTAAAATGCATAAATATTACATCTTAAATTATTCAAATGTCTAATATAGTACATTAATTTGTTAAAAGGCGAACCGAGCTAAGTCTGAACTACAGACTGTCACGAGTTACAATATACATGATGCTTTATGATTAAGTAAATTTTAAAAAATTGTATAAACATCAATGCATTGAAATAATTATTTCATTGAAAGTCATTACATTCTATATTTCATCGTTTTGGGTATCAAATTTGTTTTGATTATTATATCGGGTCACGGACGAATATAATTAATATTGCTATTTAATTACGATCAATTTAGCGAATTTATATTAAATATAATTGATGTTTAAAACGATTTTATTCCAGTTGAGATATTTAAATGATTACCAAATAATTAAATTTCAATAAGTATAAAATAAATAATAACTGAGTTTCAAAATTTTCAAATCTATGATAAAAAAATATTATGTAAATTATATTAAAATAAATTATATTCAAATTATATTTTCTTTTATTTTTATTGTTCTTAATTTGGTATTTATTTTATATTTTTTAATTTTAATTAAAATATATTCCCGTAATTCATAATTTTGTTATTTCATTTGTATAAATTATTAAGAAATTTTTAATCGATAGTTAAATTTATATAACTGCACATAATTATAAACTAATTAAAATTATATACACTGTGTTTTGGCAACACTGTAAACATCACACTAGTTTGTAAACGTTTTTTTTTCTTACACTAAAGGGCGGATTGAGCTAAATCTGAACTACAGTCTGAGTCATAAATTAGAATACACGTGATCTGTTCATGGTGGGAGATATTGGTAAGTATAAACATATAAAGAAATGAAATCGTAAGAATCGTATTAACAGTAGTTACGATCTTTATCTATTTAATATATTTTTGTTTATTTTTATTTAATTTTGTAAGTTCAATTATATATAAATATATATTGAATGAAGATATTTCAATGTGATTTAATTATTATTATATATGTTTAATTTAATATGATTATATTTTAATGTTATAAAGACTATTATCATTTTGTATGTATTTTGAATGAACCTTTTGTTCTTTTAATACGTCGGTTAAGATATAAAGTATCAGACGTATGTAAGTATAAAAAATTGCGTGTTCTTTTTATTGTAAGAAAAGCTTTATTAATTAATTGGCATAAAAATAAGATTGTTTCAATATTATTAATTACTATCATCTAATTTTTAATCTACTTAACTGTCATATCAGTGAAAATATTTCATTGCATTTTTTGTACTTGATCTAAAATATAACTATTGTACTCGGCAGTGCACCACTTCATAATTTAAATAACAATTAGTTGATATTTACTGTACCAATGTTTATTTTATTTTATTGCTGCAATGAAATTTATAACTTTGAGACATGATTCCATTTTACGCATTGTGTGTATATTTTATTAATAAATTTAATAAATAAAAATACATAATTGAATATATTAAAATAATAACATGGCGATGCGCCAAAGCGAAAACAACCTCAAATAAAAGAAAACACAAAAATTCGATTTTTTGAGTTATTTATTTTTTTTTTTTTTAATTAATGTAGTACATATTTAAAGATTCGGACTTACAAGTTCATGCATTTTTCCTGTTTATTAAAGGAAAAAATTAAATTTTGCTGCAAATATTTTTCTAAAATTTTTTTAAAGATCTTATAATGATGTACGGATTCTTCTTTAAAGAAATATTTGTACACAAATAACATTATTGTAATAACATTTATTAATATTATTATAGTATTAAAATTTTGTCATAAAATATATTTAAAATAATTACTTTGTATACTTTAAAATGTATACAATTGGTTTTACTTTATTATTAAATTTAATATAATCGAAAATCAATAATTTATTGTTTTATTTATTAAATAAATTCAAGCTTATAAAATAACATTATTATTACATTATCAATTAAATGATGATTTACAATAAATTAAATAATGTATTTTTAATTTAACTATTTAGATTATTATTTATAAAAATAACAATAATACAAATTGAAGTAAAATTTATAAGTAAAACTTATTACTGTAATATAACTACAATAAAATATTTTTAAATTGATGTTTAAATTAATAATTAATTTACATGAGTCACATAAGTTAGCCTTTCATTCCTAAAAGTTATTTAAACTTTTTAGATTTAAACTTTTCAACCATGAAAATATTGCTTATTTTATTTATGGCTACTGCAGCTTTTGTTGAAGCAGTTTCATTCATAGATCTTGTAATGGAAGAATGGAAAACTTTTAAAGTAAGTGATCATTAAATAAGGTAGGTATATTAATTTTATATTTAAAATTGTACTAAACTAATTTTTTAAAACTTTTTTAATACTTTAACATTTTTTTAAATGCTTTTATATTTTATAATTTTGAAAATATAATTTTCTTATAACTTACAATTAATATAATATACTTTTATTTTATTTGATTAATGTTTCTAGTTTTTAATTAAATTAAATTTTAATTATAAAAAAAATCTAAAACTTATTTTAAGCTAATGTTATTTATTGTTTTAGACAATATATAATAAAGATTATAAAAGTGATATTGAAGAGAATTTTAGGTTAAAGATTTTTATGGAGAATAAACATAAAATTGCTAAGTTTAATGCTAAGTTTGCAAGAGGATCAGTTACTTTCAATCTAAAAATCAATAAATATGCTGATATGGTGAGTACTGTTATCGTTGTAACAGAATACAGTTTGTTAAAACATTCATAATATTTTAAAGATATTAAAATATTACTTTTGTATTATTAGAATAAATTTAATTAAACAAGATTTCAATACCAATTAATTTGATATAAAATTTTTGTCTTTTATTACCAAATTCTCAATCCTTTAACAATATAAAACTCAAATAAAGTTAATATTTAAAAGTTTTATTGAATATTAATTAAAGTCTTTAATATTTCAATATTTAGCTTCACCATGAGTTTGTGAATACATTTAATGGATTCAACAAAACTAAATCTGGATTTTTCCAAAGCCATGAAAAGCCCATAGGAGCTACATTTATCTCACCTTATCACGTGCAATTACCAAATTCTATTGATTGGAGACAAGAAGGTGCAGTTACTTTGGTTAAAGATCAGGGACATTGTGGCTCTTGTTGGGCTTTCTCAACGGTATATCAACCTATTCATAAATTTATGAATTTAGAAAACATATATTTAGTTATTACAAAAACAAATTTAATTAATATAAATTTTTTTCATTTAGACTGGTGCATTAGAGGGTCAGCATTTTAGGCAAACAGGTGTTCTTGTGTCTTTGAGTGAACAAAATTTGATTGATTGTTCAGGAAAATATGGCAATAATGGTTGCAATGGTGGTCTTATGGATAATGCTTTTAAGTATATTAAGGACAATAGAGGTTTAGATACTGAAAAAAGTTATCCATATGAAGCAGAAAATGACGTATGTCGCTACAATCCAAAAAATAGTGGTGCAGATGATGTCGGCTTTGTTGATATTCCAGTAGGTGATGAGGAAAAACTTAAGGCTGCTGTTGCTACAATTGGACCAGTTTCAGTTGCAATTGATGCTTCACATGAGAATTTTCACTTTTATTCTGATGGTAAAAACTTACTATTTTTACTATTATTATATTACATTCTTGTATATGCAATTGTAATGTACTTTAAAAATTTGTTTAATTATATTTTATTTCATAAATAACATTAATATTTTTAAGACTGATTAAATAAATTTTTAAAACATTTTTCTGTTACATGTAAAGATATTCTGAAAATAAATTATTTTCTACTATTTGAGTTAAATATTTATATAACTATTAGAGTTTTTAATACTGTTTCGAAAATCATAAGTATTTAAAAATAATAATGTATATTATAATAAAAATAAATAATTTGATATTAGGTGTTTATTATGATCCTGAATGCTCATCGACTGAATTGGATCATGGAGTACTTGTAGTTGGATATGGAACTACTAAAGATGCTCAGGATTATTGGATTGTGAAGAACAGTTGGGGCGAGACTTGGGGTGATAAGGGATATATTAAAATGGCTCGTAATAAAGATAATCATTGTGGCATTGCTTCTTCAGCTAGTTATCCTCTAGTCTAAGAATATTTATAAATAAAGAATATTAAATAAAGAAATAAGAAAAATATGGTATTGAAATAATGCATGAATAAGAGTAATTAATAAACCTAATTGGAAGTTTTGTCTTTATATACTATTATTTATACATTAAAGTGATATAAATAATCTGCCTTTTATTATTTTTACATTTTTTTAGAAATACTTATATCCTCTGGTTAGACATGATTTTTTTTAATGAAAAATAAAATATATTAATTTAATTAAGGTGATTGCATTAATTTTAATACTATATTTTACAACTTATAATATTTTTACCTGTATTAAATCGTAAAATGAGATAAATGTTAAAAGTGTTATTTTATACTTAAAAAATCTTGTATATAAAATATTTAAAGTAATTAAATTTAAAGTTTCCAAATATAGTTTATGTTAATTAAAAAAAATCTATTTTAAAATATCCAATGATTTAACTAATATATTTTATTGAATATTTGTTAATTTGATAAAGAATTATGTTTGTAATCTAATATTTGTAGGTACCAGATATTAATTTATTTAGATTAATATGTAAAATGTATAATTATATTTCAAAGTTATTATATTCCAAGTCAAATATGGGAAAGGCTATAAAAAAGATTACTGCTAAAGATAAAAAACAGATAATAAAATATTAGTTTTAAAAAACCTTAGATTTAACAATACAAATAAAATTATACAAAAATTGGAAACTGTATTACACTCCCATTATTTTTTAATGGTAATACTACATTTGAATTATATCATTAATAAATATAAGCAAATGCATAGTTTCATAAGATAATTTTAACTTTGATCAAATTTATCTTGGTTTTTTTTTAAATTTCTTTAAAAATATTACAGCTTATATTAAAATCTTTTGATTTTAAGTAAAAAAGGGCAAATAATTTTTATTACATAATTCAATGAATATTGTAACTACAACTATTAATACTAAATAAATTTAATTTGTTATTAGTTTTAATAAAGAATTTTAGAAATATTAATGTTACTTTAATAATTAAATTATTTTTTACAAGTTATTAAATAAAAATTTATTTTCATGCGTTTTGAATTTGCCAAATTTTTAAAAACATCAATAAATATTCAGCATATTGATACTATTTTTGTTTAACTATAATCTATATAATTAAAATGATATTCTTACTAGTTTGTTTAAATTCATTATTTATCACAAAAATAAACAAAATTCTATTGTGCATACTGTGCATGTATTATCATACTTATGAAAATTATACCAAATTTGGTATTAGATAATAGTACAAGATCAGGTAATAAAATATTTTAACGAAGTCTCAAATAACAATCGTATTTATGTTTATTCTGCAATTAAAAAATTAGATTGGCTACTTTAAAATATATCCCACAGAATTTTTTTATAATTATTATTTTTGTAAAATGTTATAGAATTTTTAAATTCTTGGTTCCGATCAAAAACAATTTAGGAACAATTGTATTAAGTGGTCATTTTTTACATTATAATTAATTAATTTTCAATTTATAAAGTTAATGACATTTTTTACAAAAAAATAAACATAACGTAACATAATACGGTCCTTCTAAAAAATATGTTGACACAGTGCTATATGCAAAATAAAGTCAATTTTTTGTGATACATAAATTATTTAAACAGAAACTCATATACTTTTAGTATTTATAAAACTAAAAGGAAAAGAATTTAAAAAAATCTATTTTCAGTGTGTGCAATTGGAGAAAAATCTTTATATTTCGAAAATAAAAATTGATTAAATGGCGTAGTGTGGTAAGAAATAATACTGATTAGGATAAATCATTATTTGATTTTTAATCAGTTTGCATATATTTAAAGCGATAGCTTTGGGATTATATTTCAGAATAAAATAAATGGTATTTAATTTATAATTAGTAAATTAGTTATAAATATTACAATGGAAAATCGACCAGATGGTTTAGTAAAACCATGTTTTTCTATTTCTAATCGAATTAATAAATTTTTAGAATTAGGATCTGAAAATGAAAAGGTATTTATAAGTAGAATTTAATTTTAATAAGTTATGATTTATTAGTTAAATAGACAAAATAAATTGTATTGGGAATTGTAATTGGGAAAATGAAATTAGTCTCATATCTGTTTATGTATTTTTTTACATTATATATAAGTTTCATATAATAAATAACTAATTAATTAAAATACAAAAAATGATAGTAAATTAATGATTTTTAAGGATACAATAGAAGCATTAAGAGAATTATCTACTTTTTATAAAGAGAACACTACAAATGATCGACATAACCTTCGAAGTAAAATAGAAAAAAGAAATTTATCAATTAATGAAGAAATTTTAACTGCTTTCAAAGATGTCAAAAGTATTCTAGATAATATGCATAAAGATGTTGTTGGAATGAGTGAATGTGTACAAAGTATGACAAATAGACTGCAAACTACTAAGTCTCAAACTACACAACTTATTGAACAAGCATCAAAATTGCAATATGAAAAGTATAATTTAATAACTATTAAATCAAATTTTATTAGATATTAAAAAAAAGTTATAATTTTAATATTTTAATTTTAGAAATAAATTAATAATGCAGCAAGAAATAGTATCTGCTTTTATAAGAACCTTTCAATTGACTGGTGACGAATTAGTAATTTTACATGGTAGTTCAAGAAAGACACCAATAAATGATGATTTCTTTACAGTTATTGATCGAGTACAGGTAACAAATTATAAATATATATTTAAAAAATGTATGGAAGTGTAATTAAATATTAAATTACTATATGTATTTATTGAGATTTATGAGAAATAAAATTGAATTCTTTTATCTGCTTATTCTATTAATAAGTCCATATGCTTTTCTTTGATTTTTTATGTATAATCATTTGGTATAACAATGTATGAAAAAACAAATACAAATTCAAATAAATTATACAAAATTTTAAATTCTTTTCGTAGTAGAAATTTAGAAACAGCAATGATTTGCTAAGCTTATGAGTCTATAGGTTTATCTTTTTATATAAAAAAAAGAAATAATATATTTTATTCTAATTTCTTTTAAAAAATTAATATTTTGAAATAAAGATAAGCCATAATTAAGTTAATGTGAAATATGTTTATAAATATATATTTTTACATGCAAATAATTACTTATGATAAATTGTTAATTTAGCTTTAATACATCCATGCATTATAAAACTTTCTGACCAGAGATTCTGTTAATATAAGGAGCAGTATAAAATAATGTTGCAATGTAAATTTACTCTAAATCTTATTTTATTAATTAGGTCATTCATAGTAAATGTCGAATTCTAATGCAATCGGGTCATCAGACTTTAGCTTTGGATATAATGCAACGAATGACCATACTTCAAGAAGCAGGACTTGAAAGACTCTATCGTTGGACACAGACTCATTGTAGACATATTGAAAATGATAAATTAGTTTCTCTTTTAACTAAAGCAATGAACAAACTGCAAGAGAGACCTATACTTTTTAAGTATGTAATTGATGAATACTGTACTTCAAGAAGATCAGTGCTTGTTAGTTCGTTTATTGATGTTTTGACTCTTGGAAAAGGATACAGTAATGATTCTAATCCAATCGAAATGCATGCTCATGATCCAAAACGTTATGTAGGTGATATTCTTGCTTGGTTGCATCAAGCCATTTCATTGGAAAAAGAGAATTTCCTAATTTTATTAAGTCATTGCAACAAATCAGCCATATCTGAACAAATATCAGAATCATTAAGTAATATAACAGAAGGATTATGTCATCCATTAAAATCAAGAATTGAACATATCGTAGCTGTTGAGGCACCTTCAACAGTTTTATATTCTGTAACAATGTTAATAAGATTTTATCAACTTACCCTTAAGACTGTTATTCAAAATAGTGTACTTGATATGATGTTTGGAGATTTAATAGAATTAAGTGAAAAAAGTTTTATTAGTAGATTACAAAGAGAAACAAGAATGGCACTTGGAGAAAGGGCTGAATCACCAAGTACAGATTTGATACCAGTACCTTCGGTGTCAAGACTATTGTCACTTCTTAATGAAATTTTATCAGTTGCTAGTATTGCTGAAGATAGAAAAAAAGATACTTTACAAGTATGTTATTGATATTTGTTAATATTTAATTAAATTAATTAATAAACTAATATATCATGAATTAAAAATAATTTTGTTAAAATTTAAAAACTACTTTTATTTGTTTGTAGATTGTGTCTTGTATTATTGATCCACTTTTACAAGAAGTAAATGTAACAGCTTCTAGACTTCCAACTGTAGATATGGCTGTATATCTTTTAAACTGTATGCATCAAATTCACTCTACTCTGGCACTATATGAATACATGGATCAAAGATTAGAAAGGTTACAGGTGAACTTTCATTATTGATATTAAAATAGATTTATAAATTAAAATTTCTATTTGTATTTAATTTTTTTTTTATTTAAGGCACAATCTGATGCTCAAATTGATACTCTGACTTCAGAACAAGCAAGTTCCTTAGTTGCACATTTAAATCTTGGTGCAATATATAATATATTATTGCAAAGTCACGATCAAAGACCTTTATCTTCAATTCCAGGAATGGATGCACTAAGCATTAAAGAATTTACTGTAAAATTAAATCTTTCATATTTTTTAAATGTTTTGATTTTTTAAGTGCTTCACGTCATAACCTCTGCATATAAAATTGTTTTAATATTTACAGAAAAATAACAAATGATAATTTTATTTTAGAATAAACTAGAGACGTTTCTTGTTATGCCAGATATTTTGTTACTGCCACAAATATCATTACTCCAAAGTAGCAATCATCGAATCAATGTACAACGTAGAGCTTTTGAAGTTATTGGTGCAATTTACAAACAGTTGTATGAAGCTTGTCATGAGTCAAAAAATCGGTATCAAAATCCAGATAGTCTATTTTCTTTTACACCAGAAGCACTTTTAAAAATGCTTTTTACTCACTAATTGATTTTAATATATATACATATATATAATTTTTTAATTATTAACTTATAAATATTATGTATATTCTTTATGTAGAAAGAAAATTATATATATTAAATCTTATAATAGTTATTTATATATTTATAAATATATATTGTTAAATATATATAATTAAGATAAATTTGTATAAATAACAATGCCATAAATTTTCTTTTAAAAATATTAATTTTGTGTATTTTATTTGCTTATATTCTATCGTTTTTAAAATTGAATTTATACCCTTTATAATTATATATCTTTTAATGGTTACTAACAAATATTTATTATATATTTTATTTAAATATATAAAATTTTTTATATATTTGAATGATGTCTTGATATAATTTAAATATATTCAAATATATAAAATTAATATAATAAATCATAATATTTAAATAATAATTGAATGAACGTTATAATTAAGCAACGACTGAAAATAATAAGTTCATATAAATACACATTTTAAAAAATTTAATGTAAAAATAACAAATTTAAAAAATACTAATTAATAACTAATTTCAATTAGATTTATAAACGTACAATTTTTAAATGTTTTATTTAAAATTTCAAGAATTTATTTTTACTGCCTTGAATAATTGAAATCAATATTATGCTATATAACTTTAATAAATTGAGCTTACAAATTACACATTGCAAATTATTGAAAAAACATATTAAAAATTTATATTGATATTGTTTGGAAAACTATTATAACCAATGTCATGAGAATCAACTATGATATTTAAGAAAATTAGATAATATTCTATATTATAACTTATTTGATATAATAAATTAATAAGTCTAATATATATTTTTTGTTTATAAGTTTAAAGATATTGAAAAGATGAATATTGAAAGGTGTCAAATAATGTATTTGCCCAAATTATAGATTTACATATTGTAGATGTTTAAATATGTATATCTATAGACAATTAACATTGCTATGAAACGTTATTTAGTATTTAGATGATTGAATTATTTAATTTTATAGATTTCCTATTACTATCACGACTATGTATATTTTTTTATTTAATAAGTATCCATATTTATATCAAATATATAAAAGAAAGTATTTTCAATATAAGAGATACTATAGTTATACAAGATAATATATAAAAAGTTTGAAGTTATGCTATTCAATATATCATTCAAGTATTATTATTATGGGTAAAAAATAAAAACTAGCTTAAAGAAAGCAACCTTTCTCTTTTTTAGTACGTTTTTTTTTACAAAGCATAGATGCATGCATGCATACATCAGATATGTTTTTCTTAATAAATCACGAGGTGAGCTTGTATAAATAATGTGAATTACAGAGCAATTATTGACAATTTTTTTTAATAGCTGTACTTTGTATGAACTGCAACTTAAAATTTGCTAATATTTTAAATTTTTTCAATTGATATCCGTTAACTGACGCGAAATACTTATAGGCTCTATCTCATCGTATCGTGTTTCTTCTGTCAATACTTCTTTACTCATCAATCGACTTCTCCCTACTCCTTTCCTAACCGTTAAAATTATACCATCCCTTCTTCTCCGTTGCTCGTTTACTTTCTCTTTCTCTCTTCCCCAATCATTTGAAAGATGTATAAAAGATATTACATTACATTGGACACGTTTTATTAACTCTAACCTCTTCTATTCCAATTTTCAAAAACTTCACTCTGTTTCTATTTTGTTAAAAAATGTGCCAGGATAGATATGCGATTGCAAACAGGTGAGAGCGCGCGCGTACGCGCGTGTGTAAATCTAGTATGCAATACGTGCGTTAGAAGAAAAAATAAATATAAGTGTGCATTGTGTACACATTCCTTGTGTTTTGAACCATTAGATGCTATAGAGATACATCAAGAGTTCATAAGCATATACGTAAATAGAGAATGTACTAATTCGAGTAGAGCTCTAAGGATCGAGGTGGGAGGCAGACAAAATATGTGCACACATATTCATAGAGCACGATGCACTTGGATGTGCCGTCGCCGATGACGATAAAGGTTGGTGAGGAATCATTTGTGTTGGTATAGGACGCCAAACTGACACAACCACAAGTCCGCTCCGTACTTGAAGAAGTGAGAGCAGCGTACGTATGGTGCAATCCGCATGTGTTCATAATCGTCGACTCAGTCTCTACGAGTGAATCTTGATTCGCGCATCTTTAAGGAGCCGATTAAAAAGTACTTTGAAGGTTAAGTCCGATGCGCCGTTCTGCTGTGGACTACGCGCACTTGAATAGCTTTCGTACGAGAGCGGTAGCTGTGGCGACGGCGACGACAGTGTTGTGCGCGTCTTAACAACGTCGTGCGTCAAGAAACCGTGGTCGGCGAGGAAAGAAAAAGGAAGTGCGTGTTGCGCGGCCGTGAGACAAAATGGCGGAGTCAAGTTATTATCAGGTGAGTCAAATGTGAAAGAAGAGGAGTGAGCAAACGCCAGGAGTTTTTCCCTCTTTTTACGAGAGAAGATTCATCCTTTTTTATGGTCATTTTTATATCTGACACACGTCACCTCCTTCGAAGCTTGCGGATGAAGGGCTGATCACTGCGTAACACTGAGTAATTTATAATACTCTTTTCCTCGTAAGGTCCCATTTCGATGTTATTATTAAAAATAAAATTAAAAATAAACACTTTCAATTGTGAATTGATGAAGGAAAAAAGCGATCAAGTCGATGATTTGATCTGCAGTCGTCAAACTTTTCAAAGTTGATGGTCGCTTGTTTTTAGTGATAAGCGCTGTTTATGTTTGTAACGTTGGTGCTTTTTGTTGACATTTTATCCATTTTAAAAATTCGTTTATTCGTATTTGAAATCTCTGGAATGAACTCCGTAGGGTAATTACATACTGTCTAACGAAGATTAATATTTTACATTTAACTCTGAGATTTGGCTGTTTGTTGCATCATTTTGGTTCAGATTTTTATAATATTTGCGATATCACACATGCGATATTTATTGTGATGTGTTTAAAAACAGGATTATAAAAATATGGAACTATCGTACAAAAATCTAAATTAATAAATGTATTATGAAACATTTTGTATTTAAATGATATAGTAATTTATAGATCTATAACATGTGTAAATTTTTCATTTTATAGTCTATAGCTTATCAATACTATCTTAAAAATTTATTTCAACATTAATAAGAGAATGAATTTGACTTGTTTTAATTATCCATTTAGGCATCAATTTAATTAATCACTGTTATATTGTTCATTTATTATGAAAAATATCAAAGTTTATTCATGAATATATATTTATAAATTAACTTTTAATTATACTAACTTTTAATATTTATTTATATATAAGATATGTTTTATTTTATTAATAAGAGAATTTTTTTGGATAATAAGTATTTATATCAATATTTATTTCTATTGTAATTATACAGATACTTGATTCTGTATTTGTTCATTTAATATTATATGCATTCAATTATAACACTATAGAAATTTTAATTTATAAGTAACAAGTAATATAATTTTTAATGAAAGTTATGAATTAAAGTAATGAGAATTTGTAAACAAATTTATGAGTGTCCAATATTAAAAATAAAATGCATTAATTTTTGGTATTTATTAGCAAATATGTATTATATTACTTTTTTTGTATTTCTGAAACTTTATATCATGTGTATTAAAGAATGAAAATTTTAATAGATATACAGTCACATTTGATATACTATATATTAGTATGTATATATTATTATATATATATTTAATATACTGATAATTATATTAATAATAAGCAAAATAAACAAATATTTATTTTTATACAGTGTTTGACTGTGTTGTTTATACATGTATATATTGTAAAATATTGAGATAATTGATGTTCTGAAAAGCTTATTATTAAATAATTAACATTATAACTTACTATTATTATGGCTTATTATACAGTATAATACATACATCAAATTGGTTGATGATGCAGATTATGTTTAGGTTAATAAAATCTCAACCATATCTCAAAAAGTACGTTTCATGAAAAACTGATTTATAATTTTATCTTATCATATTATAAAATGTATATTTAGAAAATGAATATAACTGTACCCGGTTTTTAAATTATATCACTTTAGAGATCAGAATATCTGCTTATTACAATTTCAGAATAAAATAATGCAAAATATTTGGGAAAGTTTTTATCTGTTTCTTCATCTTTGCAATTAGTAAACTCTATAATTTTTTTATTTTATATTATATACATATGGTTATATTATATTTTATATGATTTATACATGTATTTTTTATAATTATAAAAAAAGAAAAATATTTTATTAAAAAAATTTACAGTAAAGAAAGATTATAAGAAACATTATCACTTATGTCATTGACTTTTAATATATAAAGAAAAAAGAAAAAATTATTTTGCTTTTAGGATTTGATAATTATCATTTTACTATGAATATTAGATATAATAAAAAAAAATATAAAAAATAATATAACATTTAAAACCGGGAATATTTTTTAGAATTTATAATTTATTTTAAAGTCTGTACTTAGAAATATAAAAATTTTAAACTAAAATGTAAGTTAAATTAGATTATTTAACAAACAGATATATAACAAATAACAAATTTTCTTAGGTTTAAAAAAGAATTTTAAAATAATGAATATATTATATCGGTAATATAATTAGTGCAAAGTATCAAATAAAACTTTTCATCAAGTACAATTTTACAATAGAATAAATTAAAAATATAAGCATGTTTCTATGTAAAAATAAAAATAGGGTGCATTCAGAAAATGAGTTGTTTCACAACCTATCACAATGTTCATCAAATACAATTATTAGTCTTTTATTTATTATAATATCAAAAATCATATGAAATTTAAAATACGACATACAATAAACAATATGGTTTTAATGAATTATTCCTCTTTCAAAAAATAATATTTATAACAAATGTGAAGAATATTTGGAAGTATACACAGCGTCGTTATGGGAATCCAGGTTATGAGGACTTACAATAACAAACTTGTGTCAGTGAAAAAGTAGGTATCGTAAAGTTGATGCATTTGTGACTGAAGTTAATTGAGCTGAAGACCTCGAATCACTTTCATCCGATACTAATATATGGCTTGATTTTCAACTGTTTTTTTTATCTACATTTCGGATAAAATGGAATAATTTTTCAGAGGATTATTGAGATACTATTAAAAATATATTAAAATTACAATAATTGTTTATCTGTTGAGAATGAAAATATAAGGTATTCCAATGTTTGGTCTAGGAACTTGAATTATGAAAAACTAGAATGGAAAAATATGATCTCAATCTTTTAATTTGAAAAGAGTTTGTAATATAGATATTATTTATAAAACAAATACGAATCTAATTAAGGTAAAGTTTAATTTTGTTAGATAATGAAAAACATAGGCATTGACTATTATAATATAATATAAATATTAAGTATAATTCCTTGTAATTTATTGTTTATTTCCGCTAATATTTTGGCTATTGTTACAAAAACTTATAGCTATACACATAATATATTCTACATATTTGAATAGGTAAAAATGTTTGAAGGTCCATAATTATTGAATATATTATTAATAAACAAAATAGATCTTCACTAAGTAAAATTTACAAAGCAAATAATTATTTATATAAAAAATATAGAAGCTTACTTCTAATCTATAAAATAGTAAACTTGTTTTTAATTCTATTAATATTATATTAATATTAAATTAATATAATATTACGCACCATGAAATTATTTAATTTATTTTAAAGATTTTTATTTAGTTCTGTTGGTATAATTATATTTTTAAAGTAATTTAAAGTAAAAGGAAAAGAAGTTAATTAGTCTTATTTATACTATAAGTTAGGAAAATCAATTTTAAACTACAGTATTATGAATTCTCACAAATTATATTAATATTTTAAAAGCAATAAATATAAATTATCAACATTAAAATTGCATAAAATAAAATATTGTAAAGTACCATGGCCTCTAATGATAATATCTCTAATTTTTATGAAAAGTAATTAAAACAACATTTAAAAAGGCAGTTACCATAATTATCAAACTTATTTTAAAATTTTAAATATAAGTAAGTTCAATTTATTATTAATAAAAAATATTAAAATAAAATAATCAAATAAATGATTACATTATGTAAATTATTGTTTACAGGTTATTTTATCAATTTTATTGTAGCATCTTATACGGATTAATATAAATTATTTTATATTATAATATAATATAAAATATATTAAAATACATATAATATATAAATATATAAATTATAATAAAATAATATACATAAGTAAATATTAATTAAAGTAAACTGAAAAATAAACAAGTATAGATTCTGGATTAAAAATGTTACAAGGTTTGTTACTTAATTATAAATTATTAATAATTATTATTAATTATCATTTTTTTTAAGGAATTGTTTTTTTATTAAGAATAGTATAAAAGGATGTCCAAAAAACAGTATTATTAAATGCTAACATTTTAAAAATATAAATTATTGGGTCATAATATTAAAATCTTTTGATCCAAAATAAAATTATTTTTATTATAATTAAAAATAATTACAATGTAGTTAATAAGTTTTAAAATTATATATTTCATATGCTGATGAATATTGTGCTATATGGAAGAAAATAATAGATAATTTATCATTTTACTAACCAATCTTCCTTTTTATTCCATTAAGTGGAAAATTAATTTTATTTTCTTAGTTTTATTTATACTGTAAAATTGATTTTTGTAGGCAAATTAAAAATTAACTATTCATTGAATACATTCTTCTAACTATAAATTAAATGTAATTATGATACAATCAATATTTATTATTTATGATCATTCAATTTTAGTCTATATTTACTTTTCAAATTAAATATTTCGTAATGTCGGAAAGAATTTTATTAGTAGTTACTTAATCACATCAATGAAAATTTTTATTGATTATAGATATCTATTTGTATAATAATTTAAATAATAAAATATGTTCATACACATTGTTATATAGTTTAAGTACTGAATATG